CAGCAGCAGCAACAAAGCAGGTGCAGCAGCAGCAGCAGCAGCAGCAGAAGAAGAAGAAATAAGCACAGAAAAACCAACAGAAGGACTAGGAGATATGTATGCTAGACAGTATAAAGAACAAGTGCTGGGGGCCCCCTCGCAGCAGCAGCAGCAGCAAGACAAAGACAAGCTGCTGCTGCTGGATCTGTTTGCTGAGATAATGTATAAGTGTGATGCACTCACAAACTATCACTTCGTTCCTCGTCCTGCTGCTGCTGCTGCTGCTGCTGCTGCTGCTGCAGCAGCAGCAGGAAAGGATGCGCCTGCTTCTGTGCGTGTGGAGGAGGCGATCCCTGTCTTTGTTCCCGGCAGCAGCAGCAGCAGCAGCAGCAGCAGCAAGGGTGTATTATCTATAACACCAAAGACAGCAGCAGAGACAACAAGAGAAGAAAGAAGAGCAGCATGGAGACAGAAAAAAGAAAGGAGACAGAAGCAGCTGCAGCAGCGTATAAATGAGGGGCAGCTGACGCTGCAGCAGGCAAAGGAAAGACAGCAGCATCTACAACAAAAAAATAAAAAAATAAAAACAGAAAAAAAACAAATAAAACTAACGGGATTGACGCATGCACAGGCACTCAAAGAACTAAGACAAACACAAAAAAGAGTAAAGACAGTTCATCTCCTCGCCGATGCAGCAAGAGCAAGGAGACAGCAACAGGCCAACAGCAGCAGCAGCAGCAGCAGCAGCAAGAAAAATACATGAGATGCTCGTTGCTGCTGCAGTTGCTGCTGCAGTTGCTGCTGCAGTTGCTGCTGCAGTTGATGCTGCAGTTGCTGCTGCAGTTGCTGCTGCTGCAGTTGATGCTGCAGTTGATGCTGCAGTTGCTGCTGGAGTTGATGCTGCAGTCGCTGCTGCAGTTGTTGCAGCAGCTGCAGCAGCAGCAGCAGCAGCGGCAGCAGCAGCAGCGGCAGCAGCAGCAGGAGCAGCAGCAAGTGGTGAATGCTACAGTTGCAGCTGCGTTAGCAGCAGCAGCAGCAGGTGCTGCTGCTGTATCTCTCGCTGCAGCAGCTCTGCTGCTTCATTGCTTATGGGTTTTGTTTTTTGCTTTTTGTTGTTATATGGTGAAGAAAAGGGTACTGCAGCAGCAGCTGCAGTTGCTGCTGCAGTTGCTGCTGCAGCAGCAGCAACTGCAGTTGCTGCTGCAGCAGCAGCTGGTCCTGCTGTCGCAGCTGCAGCTGCAGCTGCTGCTGCAGCAACTGCAGCAGCAGCAGCTGGTTCTGCTGTCTCTGTTTATCCTTCGCAAACGAAAAAACAATAGCTTGTCTACATATATTATTAGACTGACTTGCTGCTGCTGTTGCTGCTGCTGCTGCTGCCGTTGCTGTTGCTGCTGCTGCTGCCGTTGCTGTTGCTGCTGCTGCTACTCTTGGTGCTGCTCTTGCTGCTGCTGCTGCAGCAGTGCATCAACTAAACTCGACTACTGTGTAGTTGCTGCTGCTGGCAGCTGGCGCAGCAACGCGTACCTAGGAGCAGCAGCAGCAGCAGCAGCAACAGCAGCTGCAGCAGCAGTAACAGCAGCAGCTGCAGGAGCAGTGCGTATATGGCTAAGGTACAAGGTTAAGTGTGTTGCTGCTCCTGCAGCAGCAGCCGCAGCAGCAGCAGCAGTATCTGATGCTGCTGC